CTTGTGTAATCCAACCATCTTCCTTGTTATGTTCTCTGGCCCATATTTTTCCCTATTTCCTCGAATTCCTTCAATTTTTTGTTTACCTTTTTTACTCTAACATTTCTTCGCATCGGTTTGAAAAATCTTGTTCAGTCTGAAGAATATTAATCTTTTTTTCATATCGTCTGATTCTTTAGGGTTTTAACAGTTTGCTTTATATTTTTTTTCTTTTGCTGATAGGACTTCATTGTCATTCTTAATTTTGTATTTCCTTTTGACTTTTCTACTCCTTACATTTGCCAGTTCATCAAGTACTGGTAAAACAGTTTTAAGTTGTTCATTTTCTTTATCTGTTTTTCTTTTCGAATGTGAATATTCATGTCTGTGAATCTACCTTTTTTTAGTTTTATGTTTCATTCTTTAGTTCCAGCTATTCCTAATGCATATATTGCTTCATTGAGACTTATATGTGCGTCTACATTATCCAGAATTAATTTGAGTGCTGCATTGTAGAGTTTAATAATTTTGCTTTGTTGGTTGTAATTTTGGGAGTTGTTCTCGTTTCTACCTTTCAAAAATTTGTGCCTGACTGATATATATTATTTCTACCTTGATTTCTCGTATACTATTCTTGTTTTCCGTCAAATAATGATAGTTCAGTGTTTTATTGCCTGTCTGTGAGAGACTAAGGGTCTACAGTATAAACACTCCCTCACCATTTTTGACATTATTGAGGTAGTGTTTGTACCAAGTATTCGGGATTCAGTACCATAGTTCGAACTGTCATGCCAATGAATATATTTTCCTGTAATGTCTAATAACAGCCTAATTCAATACGTGTTAAATTATCCAATCACTTAAGATCCGAAGCCATGAGATCCTTGCCTGGTGTAGCTTCTGGGTATCATCATCATCATCATCATCATCATCATTATTATTATTATTATTTGCCTAATTACCAGGTGCCCATCGAGGTCTATGAATAAAAAGGACATTGTAGGAGAGTTATCTATGCATATTTGGGACGTTTTATTTAGATAAAGATGGCTTTGTGGATGGTCTATTCAGTTCCACACAAAGTAATCGTCTGTAGCTCTGAGGTGCTGATGTGCCCAGGAATTTTACTCACATGATTTTAGGCACTCTCCTTTGTCATATCCAATGTGCCTATCACAACCGGAATAATTGTACTTTTAAATTTCCTTACATTTATTATTATTATTATTATTATTATTATTTGTACCACTCCATAAATGAAATAGTTAATCTGATTCGTTTAACATATTTTTTAACAAGATTAAATTAAAAATCAACAAAGCTTATATCGCGAAAAGCATTTTAATCCCATTATTATGAAGATTCAATTAAAGGGTGTAATTAAATTCGTTTTTCCTACAATGTGGCTTACCATCGTCGTAAAATCCTGGAGTAGATATTCAAGATTAGTGTAATACAATCTTTCTCTCCTTATTTATTCCATTTAGCCTGACCTGTGACATTCTTCTCGAAGTGATTTTCTAAATAGCCATAATTATTTTCATTCGGATAATTCCAAAAAAATCGACTGCCAAATTCTACTCAGTTCTCATTTTCCCCAACCTTGAAGTCGCCATCTTTATTGATGTCGCCATTTTTATTCTAATATTTCCATATTTATAATATTTTTTTCCATATTTATAATAATACTCATTAGAGGACAAATGACAAATTTCGCTTAGTTTTTTTTAATAGTGTCTAATTGCAACCCAGGCCAATGCCTAGAAGATGCAAATTTGAATACTGCTGCCATAATTATGATTTTCTTCTAGAAAAATAGATACCTGCAGGCGTTTGATGACACTTCTTTCAGAAATAAAAGCAAAAATAACAATCTCATATCGATATGTTTTGTTTTGATTAATCTATTCTCACTGAACGTATTGTATAGGTTCCGTACAAAAGCTTCCAGCAAAATACATGTTTCTAATTTGCATTCAGACGTAAGTTTTCAAAAAAAGAAAGATGAGAACTTTTGCACATACCTAGTAATTATATTCCAACTCTAGTCTTTCTTCAAATTCTAATTAGAATGGACATGTGGCCGAGTGGTTAGACGTTTGGGCTTCTGACCTTGAGACCCGGGTTTCTCCGCATGGTCGATTTGTCAGGGAAGTAACTTCACGATGTTATCGTTTTGGGGATGCGATGTCAATGTTTAGTGGACGGTCAGTTGCGTATTGTACATTTGTTCTCAGGACAATTGCGTACCAGAGATTTTGTTTCCATTCTTTCCAAAACCTCGTTGTTTCCCAGATATTGGGCCCATGGTATACTCTCTGTATTCTACTTTTTATAGAACTACATTTCTCTCGCTTGAAGAATCTTCTTCATCTTTGAGGAGATTGTCCAGCATTCGCTGCCGTACAGGAGGACATATATCAAATAACAGTTCTCTTTTCTTTGTTTCTAACGAAATTTTCTTGTCTCTTAATACACTGCTTAGCTTTTAGAATGCATCTTTAGTAATCCCAGTACATCTTCGGATCTAAATATTGTACGTTCTGTCGCCTTCTTAGAACACTTCCCAGATATTTAAATTTCTGTACCTGCTTGATTTTAGTATCCACGACCTGTAATTTGCATTTTGGGCTCACCCTTTTGCTGATGACCATGCATTCTGTCTTCTTGTAGTTGATGCTTAGTCCTTTGTTCTCGCTTTACTTTGCTAACTTATGTAGAAGCTTTTGTAGTTTCCTTTATTATCTCTCATCAGCACTGTGTCATCTGTATATAGTGTTAAGATTGTAGCCGCCAATAATGGATCCTAGTAGGACTTCTAATTCTCTATGAATTACCTCTATGTTGAATAAATCCGTAAAGAAGACACATTATTAAGAGCTACAAGAAACAGGAAGATGTGAAGGGCAATGCTTGTCTATGTCCTGAAGAAATACGGCAATAAAAAAAGTTTGAATAAATCCAGTGAGAAGACGCATCCTTGTCGGACATACCTTTCTATTTTTGTATATCATTTTCCGTTTATATGCTGGAGGTTTGCTGCAAGTATAAGATCTTGATTCTTTGAATTTCTGATACTAACAAGGCAGATTGAAGGAAAGACGAAAGCAACGGATGGCATACTTGATGGCCTTGAGCAAATGGGTAGCAGAATAATTTTTGGGAGAAATATCAAAAAGACAAAATTTATTAAGAGCTACAAGGAACAGGAAATATGGAGGGCCATGATAGCCTACGTCCTGAAGGGACACAGCACAGTAAAGAAGCAGTTTCAATAACATCAACTATGATATTAGTGATGGTGATGAAAATCTGAATGGCAGCGTTAAACGATGTAAAAGGTAGAGTACAATTGATTCTAATTTAAAGCAGAAGCACAAAAGTTGTAGAATCCCTAATCACGTATATCTTTCCTTGATTCGTATATATATATATATATATATATTGAACAATAAAAAAATTATTAAAAAATTAAAATCTTCAAAGAAACTGGGTTGTAGAATAATATTCTTTCGTTTTTTTTTTATTTTATTTCATTTAGATTCCTCGACTAGTTTCGGCCAAAATGGCCATCATCAGGAGAAGAAATATTTCTGCTTGCTGGTAGCAGTGAACTACAGAAATGAATGTCTTGATGGAGAAATGAACTTTTGTCTATAGTTTTCATTTTTTTTTTTTTTTATTTTTATCTTTTTTCCTTGTTGTTATTTGAGATAAGAGCTGGATGGATCTATGCTTCTCTGGATGGATCTATGCTTTTATATATATATATATATATATATATATATATATATATATATATATATATATATATATATATTTTCTTAGAAATTTGAAAATTCAATCTTTATCCTTTACGATTAGTATTTTACATAGTCCACATCGATATTTATTAAATCCTAACGAAATTACGTCGAGAGTTTCACATGTTTGCGGAGATCCACGCTCCCCATATCCTGGAGGTTTGCATCATATTAGACAAGATCCCATACACAGAGATAAAATACCAGGAGCTTGGTCCTTAACTACACCTTCACTAGCATAATATTTTGAGATTAGTCTGTAGAGAATATGGACTCACTACATTGGTGTTGCTCCTATACATTTTGCAGCAAATACGCTTCTACCGAGAAGACATAGAAGCCTGTCGTTAAATTCACAGTTTCCCCTCTCCCAGGATAGAGAGATTTTTCGCTGTTATTTAATCCATAGCTAAATGAAGGATAAGACTGATTCATACTATTCAAAGTTAATTTAGGCGATTATGAAAGCAAGGAAATTGGCCGGAATTTGATCCGAGTCCTGCGATTCCACTTTGGCGCCAATAACTACGATGCCACGCGCCTATTTTAACAATATTTTGTTTAAAATTCAGAACAGTTCGAAGAATCTGCTAATACTGATATTTCTGGCGTACGATTTGGCACGGAACTGCATTAAAAGCATCGAGAGTTTTTAATGAAGGCCATTGAATGGTAATAAAACCGCACTTTGTGCAGACAGACGGCAATGTCTAGTTCGGCAGCTTGGCAGTATTAAAAACTCAATCAAATTTGTAACACCGAGTGCCAAATATAGACGCGGATAGAAGCCATAAACCCCGAGTAAAAATTAAAGTTTTTAATTTCACACATTTAGGTGATTGGCGTTCGAAATGAAAGTTCTATTTTATCTACAGTCGAACTCCAGCAGAGGGAAGACTTCCAAAAAATGCTTTTAATAGCCTGAATCTACTTAGGGAAGATACCATTTAATAACTTTGATTGACCTAAAAGCATTTCAATCATTCTTACAATCTCGATAAAAATCTTCTTTCAGGCGCGAAAGAACAATTTTAAATAAAATACCAGCCAATTTCTGGTTCCCTGTCAAATTAGAGTGAGATTCGACATCCGAAACTCAAGAAGGTCATAGAGGTTTTCAGAAAATTAATGGTCTGTTTCAATATATATATATATATATATATATATATATATATATATATATATATATATATATATATATATATATATATGTATGCTTCCGGCAATATCGTGTTGAAGCACCGGATATCGTGAGATCTCAGAAGTTAAGCAACATCGAGCCTGTCATCTACGTAGATGGTTGACTGCTAAGGAATACCAGGAGCTGTAAACTTGGATGTATGGTGTAGTGGATAAAGTCCCGGTGAGCCGAGTTCTAGCACCAGTCGAGCTCGTTATATTCACTCATCTGTAAGTCTCACTGGGAAAAGTAGAAATTTACAATTTCTCCCCAGCTATAGGTCAAATAGTAGTTGATAACTGTTAAAAAGGTTATCTGCCAGCCTAGAATCAGACCAGCAAATAGTAGTAGCGTTAAAGTGGTCATTTTAAAAGTATTGCCCGACCTGGCCGGTCGCATATTTTAATTGACCTCCTGATTTTTAAACTATATATATATATATATATATATAAAAGGTGGCCTCAGAATTGCGTCTAGCAGGAAACAGCCTATCGCCTCTGAGTGTTTACTTCACTTTTATATTTATATTTACATCGCTCTATCTCTGATATTGAGCACTTTGTCCCATAAATATAGCACACCTTAAAACTATATATATATATATATATATATTTTGTGTGTGTGTGTGTGTGTGTGTGTGTGTGTGTGTGTGTGCTATTAAGGTTATGACGCTTTTACTAATTGTAAATTAATTAATTTCCTGTATCATAATTCGATGAAGTTTTGTTGTTAAAAAGTATGAAGAGTTTTATTCTAGAATATTCTATTGCTTTATGGAATGTTTTTTTAAGTCATACTATATGTAAAAACTGTTAAATGCGTTAAAATACAAAGTTTCTATTCAATAAAATCATGAGAATATCAACATCATTTGATATATTTAGATTTTTGACCTTATTGCGTATACGGTAAAACCTAATTTTCCCTTTCAGATGGCCTTTTCATCAAAAACTAAAACAAAGTAATGCTTCATTGATCATCAATTTATGATACATAGGCATAAGGTTACAAAATATTGCAACCCTGATATATGAAAATGGCAGCTGATATCCAAAATAAGTTTCAGTCTGTTATTAACTATTTTCCAGTATAGCTTGATAATTTTAACGGAACCAAAATTAAACTGGCCTCTATTGAGCAACTGAGAAAACACTTTTTCCCTTACATAAGCATGGTTAATACTGATCTCTAGGAGAGTGACTCTCTGTGCCTTCTAGGGTTAATGGTCACGGCTGACATGAAGTGGAAAGATTATATTGAATACGTTGCTAGCTCAGCTGCCGGGAAGTTTGGTAAGTGATAAAATCTGGCGGGTTAATGAATGACAATACATTACCCTTATATATATATATATATATATATATATATATATATATATATATATATGTGTGTGTGTGTGTGTGTGTGTGTGTGTGTGTGTGTGTGTGTGTCGTGTGTGTGTGTGTGTATACATAATAATCAATTCATCATAGCAATTATACAAAATAATCAAGTGCGTTGCAGTCTAGGAACATATAAGGCATAATGTGGTTGCATCAATTGTCTGACTCGTTTCTTCTGCTTGTGTTGCATGGTGCAGCGTCATGTTGCCAGATATACGGTCTTCCAGCAGCGACGGTTTTTTTCATAAACGATGCCCAGTGACATAACTGTGCAGTTGTCATAATTAAATTTAAAAAAGCAACGAATGTGTGAAATCGAAAATATGAAATTGCGACAATTTACCTATCGCGCTATATAGTTCTGTCCGAATTTTGAAAAAAGAAAACAAGTGACCAAATGTTACATTTAATTACAGATTCAATCAACAATGTATTTTCCCTGATTATCTATGACTTCCTTCCATCTATTAACAAGCTTACTAATTCCATTACTATAAAATTCTTTTGGCTTTGATTCGAAGAATTCACAAATGTCAGTTTTAACCTCTTCCTATGTTACAAAAGCTGTTTCTTCCAAATGATTCTGTAAGCTACAAAACAAATGGTAGTCTGAAGGAACGAGATCGGGAGAATAAAGTGGATGAGGAATTTTCTCCCAACCAAGTTCTTCGATCTTTTGTGACGTGATTCATTCTGTGTGGGGTCGCGCATTGTCCTGATGAAACATCACCTCTTTTCGATTCACTAGAGCAGGTCTTTTTTCCTCAAAGCTTGGTTCAAACGCTCTAATTGCTGACAGTATATTTGAGCATTAATTGTTGCATTAGGTGGTAAGAATTCAAAGTGGATTATTCCTTGGCGACCCCACCAGATTGAAAGAAACTTTTGCCCATGAAGTTGCCTTCTTGTCTGTGGCTGGGGTCCTTCCCCTTTACCAAGCCACTGTCTACGACGCTTAACATTTCGATTTTTCCATTTTTCGTCGCCAGTCACAAGTTTATGGAAAAAGAGGAAACAAGTTGGCGAGAATGGTGAGAAGAGCAGATGTCAACTCGGGATTTGAGGTTGTTTTCAGACAATTCATGAGGCACCCATTTTCCAAGTTTAGGAACTTTTTCAAGTTGTTGAAGATGACGATGAACAGTTGTATGGTTTGAACTGAGAACCACTCAACTGATAAAGCAGGATTTTCTTCAAGGGCTGCTTCAAAAAGCTTTTCATCAAACTCAACTGGACGTCCGGTTCGATCTTCATATTCAAGGGTGAAATCTCCACCTCTGAATTTTGCAAACCATCTTCTGCAAGTTCTTTCATTCACACATTCCTCTCCATAAAGTAAGTGAATTTTTCTAGCCGCTTCGGCTACTGAGTTTCCTTTCTTGAACTCATAAAGCAGTATGTGCCTCAAATGATTCTTGGGTACTTCCATGTTAGCAGGGTTTTAATCAAACAAAATTTAATTTTATTGTTCTCTGAAATAAAATTAGCATCTAAACATAAAAATAATATTCAGCTTCATTAGACATTATAAAATACTCTTTAAATTTCGTTCATTTAAAAAGAAAACGGTAAAATTCGGACAGAACTTACGGGATGACCTGATATATATATAATTATCTATACAGGGTGTCCATAAAGTTCATGCACGCTTTAAAAAAATCTAAAACTTTATTTGTATTTGCGATAGAAATAATCTGTAAAAAATGTTATAAAGTTTAATGTACCTAGTTTTAAGTATCTCTAAAATAACTAATGTGATTTCAGGCATTACTGTAAATCAGTTGACAAATGTTTTCCGTGAACTGCAAAATCGTATTACCCTTTGTATTGCTACTGATGGAGGACATGTGGAAACTTAAATAAAATTTCAATAAAACCTTACAAATATAGTTTTACTTCTTTCCCATCCTTTTTACAAATTATTTCTATCGCAAATACAAATAAAGTTATAATTTTTTAAAGTACACACGAACTTTATGAACACGTGTATATATATGTATAAATTTAAAAGAGGACATTAATTTTTTTCATGTTTAAATACACTCTAACTCTAATATTGATCACATTAGCCTATAATATAAGATACTTTAAAACATATATATATATATATATATATATATATATATATATATATATATGTGTGTGTGTGTGTGTGTGTGTGTGTGTGTGTGTGTGTGTGTGTGTGTGTCTACAGGTTTGCCACTAAAAGACTAAAGCAAAAATATCTTTTACAAACACGTGATATTTACTTTTTTTATTAAGTTATTTGGATGGAATTTTTTTATTCTCTTATTTGGATAGAAATTTCTTTCAGAATCTTCTGAAGTAATGTTCTGGTGATGCCTAGTTGAGCAGAGGGACGACCGGTCGAAGCTGATAGATCCTCAAAGACACTCGACCGTACAGCCGGATCCAGATCTTTTAAACCGGGCGGTTAGGTTAAGAACCATTTATCGTTCTGATATTAAAATTCGATGAACTTTTGTTAAGAAATAATGAGGTGTCGAATTCTAGAACAATCTCTAACATTCTATAACTTTATCGAACATTTTTATGTTATTCTACAGCTATAAACTATTAAATGCATTAAAATACATTAGTACTATCCAATAGCATCATTAGAATATTATTAGGATGGTGCAAAAATAATGACGTAATAATGTCGTTTTTGACGTTAAAAAATACGTCAAAAACGACATTAATACGTCATTATTTTTGCACCAACCTAATAACACATAAATCATTTAATATATTTATATTTTTACCCTTATTGCTAAAATGGTAAAAGCTAATTTCCCTTTGTTTTGGCGGTGGTGGTGGTTAGTGGGGGGGGCTGTATTAAAGAAATAAAATAAATTAATTCCATATTAATCATCGCTTCATGACAGGAGTTACAAAAAGTCGTGATCCCAATGTATGAAAATCGCCACTGATATCCAAAAATATATTTAATGATATTTATATTAAAATATTTAACACTGCGACACGGAAATTTCTGTTTCGAAATATAAAGATTTTATCTCGTCATCAGGCAATGTTCTGTAACTTTGTTGAAAAATGATTTACATTTGAAAATAGAAAACAATATGTTTTATATAATATATTAAAGAGTTAATATGCAGGTATGAAATTCAGATTTTTAGATCTTACAGGTGAGTCTCTTTTGAGTAATTAGAAGGAAGGTCAAGGCTAAATTTGAAAAGTTAGGTTAGATGGTGGCAGATCTGTGGTATTTATACATGTCTCGGGGAACTGTCATATTAACGACTCGACTTCCGGGAGATTCTAAATCTGTTCTTTTTCTGCATTTGTGTTAATATAAAAATACTAAATAACTTCGGATTATTAACCTAATATGTTCTTTCCTATTTTTCTATATCTCTGCACACACACACACACACACAGACACACACACACAGAGACATATATATATATATATATATATATATATATATATATATATATATATATATATATATACACATATATATATATTGATCGATAGATAGATATAGATAGATAGATATTATTATTATATTATTATTAGACATATAAATAAATGTTTAATACTTGTTACTTATCCTATCCTACCATAATATATATATATATATATGTTTGTTACTTATCTTATCCTATTACACACACATACACACACATATATATATATATATATATATATATATATATATATATATATATATATATAAGCATATATATATATATATATATATATATATATATATATATATATATATATATATATATATA